CTATTCATGATGCAAAGTGTTCTTGCATATCAGCACTCCCTATTCTCCTTACTTTAATTTTTCATAGTATTTATCACTTATTAGCATATCTTATTTATTTTATTTACTTCCACTAAGATGAAATATCCTTAAAGATCATGATTTTTGGTTTCTTTTTTCCTCTACTATATCTGACACTTTCTAAATATTTATTTAATCAATTAATAAGGCATATATATTTTAAATGCTATAAGATTTTAAGTATTAGTTCCAGCTGGATTTATCTGGAAAGGCATTGGAAGTAAGTGCAATTAAAGTATGGCTGAATTAATTGAAAATTAAGCATTAAATATATACCAGAGACTATGACAATATGACAGTGACAATAGGTGGAAAAATAAAATAAAATCTAATTTCTAACTTCAAAGCATATAAGATATTCATACCAGCCATTCTTCTCTAAAAGATATATTTAGCTTCTTCCTCTACTCTAACAAGATTTAGAAGAACAATTCTGGAAACTTGTATGGCTTCAGACATCAGATGCTCCATACTGTAAATGTTGAACTTCTTTCATATTTTCCCTGTATCCTTCTTTACTCTTCAAATTATCTTGTCAAGGAACACATTTCTTTTCTTTAAATTTACTGTTGGGTTTTAAAAGAGTTCTAAATATTATGTATTATGTCAAATGTGCACAAGTAAATTACAAAAGAGCAGTAAACAACAGATATCAACGAATTTGGGAGGAACTAGACTTACAGCATCCATTTGTGAGGGGGAAAAGAAAACATTATTTTAAATCATATTAGAGATATTTATGACTTCATTTACTGCAAGAAAGAAGTCCTGGAAATTATGTTAGCTGAAATCTCTGTGCTTTCATAAAAGCCTATGAAGAACTTAAACAGCTACTACAAGGCAACATGATCTGCACATTTACAGATTTGGGGAGCTTGAATAACACCATTTGTTCCTTGGATAAGGGAATTAAGCCATGTACAAGACAAATCATAACCAGCATAAACCTACATTTGACTCAATTTTCTACATACTTTATATGAACTTTGATTTTTTTCAGCCCAATTAATCAGAGAAATTTCCAAATTTGCCAAATTTTGGAAGTCATTGCCTATGGCAGCACTTGCTTCAAGGAGTCTTTAACTGGCAAGGTACATATATATTTGTTATTAAAATCATTGAATTTCTTCTTTACAACAATTACTTAATTTAATAAGCAATGTATCAGACACAGATCAGATGTGCAGTAATTAGTAGAACAAGTGAGACCATATACAATGTAATTGTTATAAAACAGATTATAGTGTGCTGTATTCTCTTCTTTATTTAAGAAATCAAAACTATAAACAGAAGATCAACAGGACAATAGTACGTGTAAAGGAGTAAAGGCTCCTAGGTGGGAGCCAGTATAGAGAGTTAGTTCAAGGAACTAAGCAATGCAAGTGTGACTGAAAGGCAAGAGCACGGGAGGGAGTGGAGTTAGATGAGGTTGAAGAGGTGAGCTGGGGCCAGAGCATGCAAAGTATTGAGAGGAAGTCAGGATAACTGTGGCTTTCTCCTAAGGGCAGCGTGAAGCCAAAAAAGAAATTTAAGTTATGCAGTGGCATGATGAGAATTGCATTTTTAAAAGGTCACTCTGGCTGCTGTGCAGAGAATAGGTTGGAGTGAAGTGAGAAGACTCAGAGGAAGGATTCTGGAAGTCTAAGAGAAAGCAAGTGACTCTCACTAGAGCAGTGGAATGGAGGTGGAGAGAAGACAATGGGCTCACGAGAAATAAAAGGGAACATTGCCCTCCTTCCAGACACATCTGAGGCACACACATCATGGTCCATCTGAATATAGCCACTGGCTGGTGTATGATACCCATGGAAGTCTGGAATCATTGCTCATGATTATTGGCTATAAGTAGAATCTGCTGGTTCAGATTCATACCCTGTGTTCCCTGCTGTGCTCAGCTGATTTTGTAAGAGGCAGGAGAGGAACGGCTTGTGATATGTCAGAACGTGTGCACTCTGCCTCCTAAAGCTGCCACGTGGTACGTAGTGGGAGGACTGTTGACAGCCAGCAGGACACAGGTACAAGGGGAAAGGCTCACCCACTCCCCGTGGGCTACTGGTATAAAAGCTTAAACACCTGCCAAATCTGTAGCCTTAACCAGCCTAGCTGAGCAGCCCTTTCTCCCACTTGACGGAAGGACTATTATGATCAATAAATAGACAGATTCAATCAGTCAAAACTTGCTTATAAACAATCTCACTATGCACTATGTCCTTAGAAAGAATGCATTAACCTTTTTAAATGCAGTACCAACAGCTCAACACAAAGCCCAGTGCAATTATTCTTTGAAAAAAAAATGATAATAAGGATGAATGGCAGGAATTATCTCATTTTATAGGGATACCAGGGTCTTTCTGGGCAAGAGGAAAGATTATGGTAACAAATGTTTTGTGCATTATGCCTAATACTTAACATAATTTACTTAATGGTCTAAACTGGGCTTGGAAACTACAACCTGCGAGTCCAGTCCACCACCTATTTTTTGAGTAAAATTTTACTGGAACACAGCCACACCCATTTATTTATGTGCTGCTTATGGCTGTTTTCAAACCACAACATCAGGGATAAGTAGAGGCAACAGACTGTACAGCCAGTAAAGCCTAAAATATTTACCGTCCAGCCCTTCAGAGGCTCTAGCATAGCTCTAAATAGAACTTGTTTAAGAGAGTAAGTAGGCTTCTTTTAGTCAACGTTTACACCAAGTTCCTGATGTTCACGCACATAGTTATGGAAGGTCATATGGAAACCTTGTCATCCAAATTCCATTTGTCACTAGTAAGGCATGGAAATGGAATTGTTGATTCTTCTTGAAGAATGAAAATTAGGCCAAATGTTGCTCTTAGAGCAGGTATTTTTGTGTGTTTGAATAGCATAGGCTTTCCTTTTAAAAGGTAGGTTATGAAATTAAGCCCTTTTTGAAAAAATCTGAGGAGAAAATTTTTTTTAAAAATATAAAAGGCTTCTTTAAACCAACACTTGATAAGACAAAGCTCTCAAATTTTCAGGCTCCATTCAGCCATCCCTGGTTTCCCTAAATTCACAGCCCTCTAATAGAAAATATATTAAATAGTAAGAAACCCATAGTGGATTATGCTATTTCAAATGACTTTGCAACATCTGTTTAATACAAAAGACTCAAATAACCATCCTATTTACTGCCAGAGGCAAACTGTAATTTCATCCCTACTCAACCATTTTGTGTAAAAACAGCCATATAGGTTAGGTTCCTTACTCAGAAACTGACACCCGATGGCTTGATTTATATTCTAGCTCATTAACGCAGTGAACATTCTGAACCAAGTTAAATTAAATGTCTTCAGCGTTGGAGCACAGTAAGTCGGTGTGAATTTGATTTGTTTTCTGACATTATCTATCTGAGTAGTTTGAGATAAGAATTTGGAAACAGCAGAATTTAAGGCTGGCAGAAGCCTTATAGTTTTGTGACAACAGTCACACAGATAGTATCTAACACACTTCATGAGAGAATCCAGGAGTCCAGTTTTTGACTAAAACATTAAAAAGCTTGACAAGATCAAGATGGGGCACAACAGGACACAACTCTCCCCAATGGTCAGAGTGTGAACTGGCACATCACTTGGAATAACAACTTGGCGTTATCGTGTAAACTGAACATGTGCATATTCTAATACAAAGTTTACTTTTAGGTATATAATCCAAAGAAACTCTTGTATGTGAACACTAAGGAGTCATAATCTAAAATGTTCACAGCAACATTGTTTGTGACAGAAGAAAAAAGGAAAATAACTCAGCTGTTCATCAGTAGGAACAAATGGATAAATAATTGTGATATATTCTGCAATGACATACTATGTAGAAGAAAAACTGAATGAATTAGAACTGTAGTCTGGAGGAATCTCAAAAACAAAGTGTTGAATGGAAAAAGCAAGTCCCAGAGGAATGTGCATAGTGTGGTGGTAAATATTACACACCAGCTAAGCTATAATACCCAGTTTTTGGTCAAATACCAGTCTAGATGTTGCTGTGAATTAATACTTAGAAGGGATTAATATTTAAGTCATTAAACTTTTAGTAAAGCCCATAATGTGGGTGGGCCTCATTCAATCAGTTGAAGGCCTTACAAAGAAAGCCTGAGATTCCCCAGGGAGGAAGGAATTCTGCCTCCAGACTGCCTTTGGACTTGAGATGCAACATCAACTCTTTCCTGGGTATCTAGCTGCCACACTGTTCTGCAGATTTCAGACTTGGCAAGTTTAACAATCACATGAGCCAATTCCTTAAAATAACTTGAATGTATATTAGTAGTAGAATGTAGTAGTAGTTGATGGTACATATAATTAACCCTAAGCCTTTAGTTGGCATCAAGACCCTTTCAAGTGGGTTTACCAATCTTTGCTCCCCATCTGAGCCTGAAGGTAAATCTTTTGCTTTAAGCTTCTCCAAAGCCTCTTTTTCTCCCATCTCTTTATTTCTCAACTTGCACAAGAAAGAGCTAACAGGAAAAAGAAAGATGTGTTTATATTTTTGCTTATCATTTCTCTGACTACCTATTTTTATCTTTGTTTCTCTTGATACTCCAAGAAAATGTGTACCTGCTTTAAAAAAATAAAACATAATATAGACATAATTAGTTTCAATGCTAGGAATGTTACTTAAAATGTTTTGCTTGCTTTTATTTACTTTTAGTAGAATATAATAAACTTTCATCTCTTTTATTGATGCCTAACAGTACGAGCTGGGTGTCACTTTATTTTGATAAAGTAACTATAATTACCCTCAAAGGAACTATATCCCTTCCAACATACAAGATTAGTATAAGTGTTATTAAAAACAAGATTACATGATTTTACACACACACAAATAATACTACTGGCTAATCCTCTCTATGACAACTGCTTTGAATTACTTTCAAAGAGTAGAAATAAATAGTAGACCTATTCATGTTGATTCATTCACACTTTCGTACTAATTATCCTTTTTGAATTTGAAAGCAGCATTAGGCAAAATAAGATCCATATCTAGACACTTCTAATAATCACACACAATTTTATGGTTCTTTGTTCTTGAATTCTATGATTTAGACAAATAACTCAGGTATGAGGATGTTCCCTCTAATTTTATACATGGGTTGTATTTGAAGAAGAACACCCCATTGTCGAGACACCTGTGATTATTGACCAATGTTCCTGTTTTGAATCACCTTGCACTACCAGGTGCAGATCTCATTCGTGACTCCATCTCAACGTCTTCCTCACAGAACCAGTTGTGGTTACTTATTTACAGCTATCGGGATTCATGTATAATCTACGCGCCCCTTGAGCCACGGTAAGTGTGTTAAAGAGGCCAAACTACACGTTGCTATGGTCTGAGTCCAGGACAGAGGTTCTTCTCACAGAACCCCAATTGCAGATTCAACTCACCAAGCCACTTTGGACCCATAATGCTAACAAGTGATTCTGCAGTCAATTCCAGGTCAACCTGGCCTTACTCTCTGCAACGACTGCTCCAAACTTTTGTACATTTCTCAAACTGCAAATCTGCTCATCTTTCTACTTCCTCTCCCAAAGTTACTGCATTCCTAATTTACAGAGAACAGAAGCCATGAGACAGAAGTTCCCTCTGCTCCCCACCTACAAACCTGAATGTGTCTCTCTTCTCTCCTCCCCCGATGAGTCAAAGGCCAGTTCTTTTAGCTAAGCACTAAATCTTCACTCCTCAGAAATTCTGCACTATTAATTATCCCTTCAAACCATTTACCTTCCATTCTTCTCTATGAATAAGTCTCATGAAAAAGTCATATTTCTCAACTATCTCCCATCTCCAAAAACCAAAAACAAAAGAAAATAAAACCACACATTTAATCATGTCCCCACTTTCCATCTGTCTAAAAGCCAGACACTTGTCATCATCATCAGAAAAGTCCTGAAAATGTTAACTATACAACTCAGGAACTCATCACAAAATGAACACCCACGAACTCACCACCCAGGTCAAGAACTAAACAGCTCCCACAAGACCCTCTCCCAATTCATGCCCTCTCTCAGTCATGACTCCCTTCCCTCTGCCCAAAGGTGACACTATCTTGACTTAGAATACTCTAGTTTAGGAGTTACCTGTTTTTATAAGTTGATCAGATGAATTCTCTTATTATTATTATTTATCAACATTACATTTCAAAAATTCATCCATGTTGGTGCAGTGTTTCAATTTATTTTTATTGCTTATAGTTTTTCATGGTATGAATAAGTTCAACGATTTTTAAGAAAGTAAGTAGTCATGTATCCACATACAAGATACAGAGCATTTCCAACACTCCAAAAACTTTTCTCCTTTCCCTTTGCAGCCAAATCCCTCCCCCATCTACAGATCTGAGCAAACCATTGACCTTCTGTCATCATAATTTTGCCTTTTCTAGAATTTTACATAAATAGTATCATATAGTATGAAGTCTTTTGTGTCTGTCTTATTTCACCTAGCATAATGCTTTTAAAATTCATCCATGTGATTGCATGTATTGATGGGTTGTTCTCTTTTATTGCTAAGTTGTATTTAATTATAGGAATGTATTTGCAATCTGTTTATCCACTGACCAGTTCTTGGACATTATTTGCTATAATTTTTATTTGCATTTTCCTTATAACTGACGAGGTTGTTTACCAGCCATTTATCTATCTTCTAAGTGCTTGTCAAAGATTCTTGCGTATCATTCTTATTAGGTAAACTTTCTTATTCATTTGAAGGGGTTCTTTACCTGAAAAGATATTTATTTTTATTCTGATTGTCTTGCTTTTCCATTTCTTAATAGCTTCTTTTGATAAAAAGAAATGATCATTTTTATTACAGTCGACTATACTGATCATTTCCCTTTTGGATGATACATTTTGTTTCCTGTTTAAAAAAATCTTTCCCTACCCAACAAACATCAAAATGTGTCCCTTTATCATCCTTTACAAGCTGCATTGGTTTGTGTTTCATATTTAGATCTACAATGAACCTGAAATAAGTTTTTCTGTATGGTGTGAGGTAGCAGTTAACTCTGCAGCTTTTTTCCTTCCTATCTGTTTGTTTGGTAAAAATATTTAGTTAAACTAGTACCACCTTTTGAAAAGTCCATCCCTCCTCAGCCTATGTGTCACATAACATAAATCAAGTGTCTATATATGTGTGTGTGTGTATACATATATACTGTTCTCTTTCTGGACTCCATACTGAATCCTCTAATCCGTAAACATGATGTATCCTTCCATTTTTAAGTCTCCTCAAATTTCTCTCAATAATATACACATATAAATACACAAATATACATAGACACACATGCACACATATGTGTAGGGGATCTTTCACACTCTCAGATAGACTTATTACCAGGTAGTTGGTATTTACTCTAAAGGTACTTTTTCTTAGAGCTTCTTGCTTGTAAACAGAAACAATTCATTTTTATATATTTACTTTTACACATCAACCTTACTAAAGTCACTTATCATTCCAATAATTCATATGTATTTTGGCTTTCCTAATTATTCAGTCAGATCAAATGCAAAAACAGCATGTTTAACCTCTCTTCTAAATACTATATATTTTATTTCTTTTGATCAGCTTACTGAACTGGCTAGGCCTGCCAATATTTTGTGAGTAAATGACACATGCCTAATCTGAAAGAAAATTTTCAACATTTCACCATTAAATATGATATTTCCTTTAAGTATTTTGTAAATATTATTTATCAGATTAATGAACTCCTTTTCTATTCTTGGTATAGTAAGAACTATAAATTTTTAAACATAAATGGATGCTGAATTTTATCAAATGCTATTTTGGGTATCTATTGAAATGAGTATATTATTTTTCTCCTTCATTCTGTTAATTTGGTGGATTACACTGAAGACTCTTAAATATTAAATAACTTCGCCTTGGTGAGATGACTCTAAATTGGCTGTGATGTATTATACTTTCTGTATGTTGCAGGATTTGGTTCATGAGTCTGTCTTACTATTGTTCTTTTCTCTAATGTCTTTGCTAGGTTTTAGAATCAAGGTTATGCTAGCCTCATAATGTAAGTTGGGAAATCATTCCTTTTCTCTGGAGGAGCTTATGTAAGATTGATATTATTTCTTTCTTAAATATTTGGTAGAACTCACAAGCAAAGCCATCTAAGCCTAGAACTTCCTTTGGGGGGAATAATTTTAATTGCATAATCAATATATTTAATAGTTAACAACAACTCAGTAGGCTATTTCTTGTAGTATAATTCAGGGGTTTTTTTCCTAGAAATTTCTACATTTCATCTAAAGTTTGCTCATAATATTCTCTCATGGTGGCTTTAATGCTATAGGACTTGTAATGATGTCCCCCCTTCTCATGTCTGCTAATAATTCATTTTTGCTTTGTCTCATTTGTCTTCATCAACTCATGAGGCATTTATAATTTTAACTTTTTAAAAGAACAAATCTTTTGATTCTCTCAACTGTAGGCTTATTTTCTATTTTATTAATTTCTCTTCTAGAAATACCCTCACAGACACACCTAAAAATAATGTTTAGATATCTGGCATCCTGTGACCAGATCAAGTTGTCACATAAAATTAACTATCATACTTTTATTAAACACATTCTTGTGGAAATGTCCTTCAAACATCATGCCCTCACTATTCAAGAAATGGAAACATTCTTTAAGCCAATTAGGCTTCCTGTTTTGACAAACTCACAGTCAACATCATATTCAACCATGAGAAGTTGAAAGATTTCCCACTAAAATCTGGAAGAAGACAAAGATGCCCACTCTCACCAGTTCTATTCAACATAGTTTTGGAATTCCCAATCACAGCGATCAGACAAGAAGAAGAAATAAAAGGGATCCAAATTGGAAGGAAAGTGGTAAAACTGTCACTATATGCAGGTGACATGATACTATATATAGAAAACTCTGAAGACTTAACACAAAAACTGCTACAGCTGACAGATGTATTTGGTAAGGCAGCAGGCTACCAGATCAACATACAGAAATTTGTTGCATTTTTTTACACTAATAATGAAATATCAGAAAAGGAAACTAAATAAATCATCTCTTTGAAAATCACATTAAAAAATAATTAGGAATAAACCTGACCAAGGAGGTGAAAGACTTACATGCTGACAACTATAAAACATTGATGGAGGAAATTAAAGATGATTTAAATAAATGGAAAGATCCCATGCCCTTGGATTGGCAGAATTAATATTGTTAAAATGGCCATACTGCCCAAAGCAATCTACAGATTTAATGCGATCCCAATCAAATTACCATGCTTTGAATCTTTCAGAATTGACCAGCAGTTTGCAAATTGTGTATGGAAAGGTGTAGAGAGTGGGGCTGATTCACCCAAATAATGACACCTGGAAATGACTTTACAGTGATCAGTTCATATTCTTTATATGGACATTCACAGTGATTTACTTCATATTCTCCTAATAATGGTTTTTGTTGCTTGAAATAAAAAACAAACCATCAAACAGTAACAATAGTACTTATTCACAAATTAAGAACATTATTCAATTTACAATTTTCCTTTAAACCCTCAGACTACACAAAGAAAAGGAATCAGTTTAATGATGTCACAACTTTAAAACTCCTCTACCACATCTTAATCTCCTTTTCTAGCAAAAAAAAAAAGACAAGGCCTCAAGCTTAGAATTTAGGACAAACAATAGTACATACTACTAAAATTTAATGAAATTGTATGATATTTCCTTTTATACTTCTTTCTGTTTATGTCAGGTATTAATGGTTTTCCATTTATGATACCACATAAAATTGCTTTAAAGAAACAATTCAAACAAAAATATTAAACTAAAAAATTGAGCAGCTGAAGAGTGATATGGAAAAAATTAAGGGCATGTTTTCAGAATGACTGAAGTTTGAGAAACACAGCCGGATTGAAGGAATCTGGTCAGTGGCCAGTTCAGTGGTTGGTCTAATCCACTCTTCATCATACTCCCACGACCAGCTCTCTCTTCTTTCCAAATTTCAAAAAAATCAAAAAACTCTCGACTTCTGCTAGCAAAGGTTGTTGACTACTTTCACAGATTTATTTCCTGATTATCTTCTTTGGAGTTCTCAGATTGACTCTAAGTTCTAAGTATATCAAAGGCTGATGTCATTTATGACAGAGTAGATTCTGCTATGGAATGGTTAAAACTGCAGGCCCTGCAAAAGTTATCCAAAAAAGAAAACCCTTCCAAGGCAGTTTATTTTTAATGTATAAAATTAGCCAGAAAAAAATGATTTTAAGTGTTTTTGTGTGCACAAGGCCACCCTGCCATGCCAGACAAATCCTATTCTCCTATCCT